CAGTCAGTCAGTTAGTTTTGAGTCTCTCATCTATATATATATGTAAATATTCGATTTTGAGATTCGAGTTGCCTTTATGGCCATATTTTATAAGTTAAGTTGTTTTGTAACCTTGCATTTGCATTTGCATTTGCATTGAGTTATTCTGTTGGGTTAGGTTTCCGCTGAGTTAAGAAAGCCAGGCCAAGGGTTCGCTTGGGGCCAGAAATGGTCTCCGGGTGCCAGTCCCGCCCAGGGTGTAGGCTCAGGGCGTGACATGATATGAATATCTAGCTATATTTGTGTATTTTTTATTTGTTTTAATTATACAGTGATACAATTAGAATTATAGTGCATTAAATAAGGTAATTTGTGGTACTGAATCCCTTTAATTATGTCCTGAAATTCTAAACTTTCCATTATTAGATTAACAACTAATAATTGCATAGTCAATGTGTATACTCTTGGATTCCAATTAGTTTTAAAAAAATTTGGATACATCGTACACAAGTTTTCATTGTCGCTATTGTTCTTGTTCAAGAGTAAAGGTATTTCGCATAAGTTTCTTTAGTAAATTAATTTATTGTAATTGTGAATGAATCTTGTTTGTTTTGATTTCAAATACGCGAACTCCATGACAAACATAATTGTATCCCTAAGATTGCTCAATACAATTGCGTTGATATATCAATACAATTGGACAATCTAAAAAAATGACAATGAACTATACTACAATATGATTATCCAAATGTATATGTATTTCACTCTATAAAAAATAGGTGCGTTGTATACGTATACATTCAAATCTATGTAATAAATTTATGTATCCAAATGCACTTATATTTCCAATTGGACAATCCATAAAAAATAACAAGTATTTAAATGTTTATGTATTCCACTGTGTTCAATATTCAAATACAATTATATGCGTGTAATCAAGAGAAGAAAATGTATTCATGTAATTGATTACCTAGTCAATGCATACACTCTTAGATTCTAATTAGTTTTTAAAAAATTAGATACATCGTACAAAATTTTCATCGTCGCTATTGTACTTGTTCAAGCATAAAGGTATTTCACATAAATTTCTTTAATTAATTTGATTTATTGTAATTATGAATGAATCTTGTTTGTTTCGATTTTAAATACACGAACTCCGTCATAAGCATAACTGTATTCCTAAGATTGCTCATTACAATTGTGTTAATATATCAATACAATTGGACAATCTAGAAAAAATGACAATGAACTATACTACCATATAATTATACAAATGTATATGTATTTCACTCTATAAAAAATAGATATGATGTATGTGTATACATTCAAATCTATGTAATGTATTTATGTATCCAAATGCACTTGTATTTTCAAATCTATGTAATATATTTATGTATTCAAATGCACTTGTATTTCCAATTGGACAATTCATAAAACAAAATAAAATAACAAGTATTCAAATGTGTATGTATTCCACTCCGTTCAACATTCAAATACAACTATACGTGTGTAATCAACAGAAGGAAATGTATTCACGTATTACCTCATTTGTATCAAAGTGAATTTTAACATAATTAAATTATATATTTGAATGCTAGTGAAAATAACTTCTTCAAACAAAACCCTATGAAAATTGAGTAAAATATAGATGTATACAAATATAAACTTCATATAAACGAGAAAAAATATGCAATTAGAAAATACCCAATGAAGATGAATCACAAAAATCGTTCCTACAATCATGCAAAGGTTCTTGAATTAGAAGGAAATTAGAGGAAAAATAATAAAAAGAGACATTGAAACATGTATACTGAAAGAAAAAAATATTGAATAAGGTAAGCATGGGGAACATAGCACCAATAAAACGTGCATATGACATTTATTAGGTGTGTAGTAGTGATTATCTTTCCTATTTAATTAATTATTTAAATACATATAATTTTTTTTTTAAAATCTGACAATTCATGTTTAATTAAGTTTGCTAATTAATATATAAGTACATCCATATAGCTTAAAAACAATAAATTATAGCTATATACATTAAATATAAATTGATGTTTGTTATATTGTGTAGTTTTTCCAAAATATAATTAAAATATATAAGTATTTCAAGATATTAAAAATTGTTGTAAGTAAGTGATGTTGACACTCAATTTTGATCCTTTTTTTAATTGATTATTTTTGAACTTCTAAATTAATAGAATTATAAAATGATCTTTTCAAATTTTATGTTTTAGTTTTTATATCTTTTTTCTTAAATAATGAATTTATCACACTTAATTTAAAAGTTGTACTTATTTAATTAATTATAACTACATATTAATATTTTATTATATTAAGGAATAAGGGTCTGAAAAATACTTCAACTTTGGTCGGATTTTCTGTTGCGATAGTAAACTTTCATAAGGACATATTACCTCCATAGACTATTTAATACCGTATTTTTTACCCCCTGAACTATTTAATAGTGTATTTTAAAGGTATATATGTGCCCACGTGGACACATTACTATTTATAATTTTGCATTATTTTTTATGTCCACGTGGGCAAATATATATGTTTAAAATACGGTATTAAATAGTCTAGGGAGGTAATAGGTCCTCATGAAAGTTTAGTATCGCAACAGCAAATCCGACCAAAGTTGGGGTATTTTTCAGACC